AATACATTTTCTGTATCAATAGAATGAGCATTATATCAAAGTACATGGCAAGAGATTTAATGGAATCATGACTGAATTAAGGTTGTTGGACTAAAGGAAGTTTTGTTTAAGGTTTATATGACTGAATGACTTGAGAATTTAAGATATAAGTCACTGCTACACTGCCAATATCCAGCTTTATTTCCCATGCCATTGCTATGAAGGGAAGTGTTCCAATTCTTGCACAATTATCTGGACTATAAAATATTAGATATTGAGTAAGATTTTGAAATCAAATTCTGATATGATAAAGGTACTTTGAATCATATGTTTGGGAGATGGTGTTTATTCATTTTCACATGGTTTATAATAATAGGATTGATTGATTGATTCAACATTATTACTGAAGGTACTGCTAGCCTTGGCAGAAGAAAGTAGGTATATTTTGCAGCAATTGTAAGCATTCTTGTATAGGTATAGCTCAGCTATAATGAACCATGCTCTGGTAACCTCCTGATTGGATTACTGTAATGCATTATATATAAGGCTGCCCTTGAAGGTGCCTCAAAGTGTTCAGTTCAGAACTTGTCTGCTATAATTCCCAGTAATCTAACTAAAATGAACCACAGTACTTCATCTCTTAAAGAAATACATTGACTCCTTTTTTAAAATTTATGACCCTAATTTTAGCTCCTGTTTCTTATCTTTTAGAGCCTTAAATGGCTTGGATTGAAATACCTGAAAATCCTTCTTACTTTATAACTTTATTTATTCATTTAATCAATTTATATAGCCACCCATCTGGTCATCATGGCTCTGGATGATGAACACAAGAATAAAAACCAAAGCAATATAGACAAAGCAAACAATAGTAAGACAATAACAATACAAATCAAATTTTATAATCCAATCATATCAGAAAAAATTACAATATTAGCTTTATCCAATGTAAAGGACCCATGCCCAGAGGAATATTCAGATCCTGAATAATTTATGAAATTGTTTTTTGGGGGAGAGATTTATGTTCCAATGGACAGATCCCATGACATCTAGGGCACACTTCTCTGGTTATGCAGGAAGGTATTGCTTAATAAATGGGACCAGGAGCATCACTGAACTGCTACGTCTAGTGGGCTGGACAAAAACAGCTTCAAGGAAGTGGTCTTGCAAATAACTCCGTCCTTGGAGGATTATAAAGCCCTTGAATTGCTTTATATGTGGTAATCAACACCTTGAATTGCACCTGGAAGCCCACTGAGATCCAATGTAGCTCATAGAGCAGTGGTGTAATGTGATGTACACCATGTGTGATGTACCCAATGAGATGTACTCATAACTGCCCATGCCACTGCATTGTGGACTAGTCACAGCTTCTGAGTATTTTTCGAAGGCAGTTCCATGTGGAGCATATTGCATTAATCCATGTGGGATATTACCAATGCCTGGGTCACTGTGAGCAAGATCTCTTGATCCAGAAAAGGCTCAATTGGTAAACAAGACAGATTTGTGCAAAAGTCCTCCTGACAATGTCTGCCCCCTATTTCTTGAACAGTAGCTTCAAAGCCAGAAAGACCTACAAATTACGTCAGTTCGGTCTGGTGCTCAATTAAGCACTGAATATGGAAAATCTCGGAATCCAGAGGACTTTGAAACTCCTAACTACTAAATCTTCAAAACCCCATGGCCTGCAGAAAAGAATCAATCTACATCGCTTAAATGGCCTAAGGAAAAATATGCTATTGGGATGATAGCATACTGGTGATACTGAACCCATTTTTCCTAATGACCTATTGGATTCTACTTTGAATAGGAGTGTGGAGACAGCAGAACTATGAGGGACATCACAAAACACTTCCCCTACTCCCAATCCCCTGAGCCAGTTCAAAAGGATACCATAATCAATATTATTAGAAGGCACAAGTGATTAAGAATGATATAGTTTTCCCAGTGTTTCCCCTGCCAGAGGTCATCCACAACTTCAATCAATGTTCCTTCAGCCCTATACTTTAGTCTAAAATCAGACTGTAGCCATCCCTTCTCAAACATGTTCCCTAGTTGTCCAGCATAGTTAGGTCACTCTTTGTCAATTTCATCAGCACTGTAGGTATCTTTTCTGTCATTTCATCACTTAAAGTTCTTCTGGTAATCAAGAGCAGCCTTCAGCTTGACAACCAAGTCTTGACAACCGAGTCCAGTCAAATTGTGCACTTGAACCTTCAGGAACTAACACAACCTTGTAAAAACCTATCTGGTGTCAACAGCCCTCTGGGGCCTATCGATAGAATAGGCCTTATCTTCTTGTAGTGGAAAGCAGATTTAGAGCATTTCAAGAGAAAGAAATTAGTCCATGGAAATGGGGTGATGGTAGGCTCCTCAAAACCAAATCGTTGCCCTAATAAAAAACCATATCCAATGTGTGATTCCCAATGTGTGTGAGTGGCTCTTGATCACTTGATTTAGTAGTTGCTATAGTAACCTGAATACCCCCAGTCTATCAGAATCCCTGCCTAATGAATCTTCTTGCCCATATGCCTCAGGAACTCCACTGCCAACTGAGCCATGAAGTCAAGAAGCTTATGCAAGAAAGTCACTACTGTTGGGATTTCCCTGCTCCCCCCCTCTGATTTGTTCCTTTCTCAGAGGCAAGAATATTGAACGTTCAGTGCAGCCAGGGCCCTATATAAAGAGCGCAATATCCTTTTATAGTTTGATATAAACAACCAGTTTGTGCATGCTTAACTCTTAAAATCTTGAGGTTGTATTTTCCTAATGTATCATAATTTGATTTATCAGTATTCTAATTGGTGCGCTTTATCTCTGTTGCCAGGAGTGTAACAGTTTCCCCTAATTCTCTATTTGCCTGTATGACTTTCTCACTTCTGTATAATGACAAAGTGCTTTGTTTCCCAAAAAGTAGAGAAGGGAACAAGGGGATCAGCCATATTGNTTTTTCTAGATTATTAATATGACCTATTGTCATTGAATCTGATTTATTTTGACTTACAGGATAACTGTAAGTGTTGAGATTTACCTATATGGAGTTAAACCAAAAATATGAATTAAGTATGTGAGACTTCTGTAAATGAAGGATTGATACTATAGTGTAGAAGAAAATTTAAACATTTGATGACAGAGTCTGTACTCTTCATACTTATTCCAATTTTATCCCCAATAGATTCTACAATATTACATTATGTAATTCTGAAATATGAAGGCCAATAATGTACTGGATTTCTCTCCATTTTTTTCAGTATCACTGCTGTATGTACTGTGATAAAAATCCATCTTAGAAGCATAAAGTTTATTATTAAGCTTGAGGTTTGTAAATAACAAGGATCCAAATGGATGGCAGGCCTAAAGAGTAAAAATTAATTTTAGCCAAATTTAGCTTCCTTAATATGAGGAACATATAACTGATTAAAGTGATAATGCTGTTCAAAAGTGAAGACAGATATATAACTAAGTCCCTTTTAATATGAAAAAGAAAATCCTATGCCATTTTCTGTTCCACCTCTCTAATAATTTTATCATTCAATGTTATATGCAAGGACAAAGTGTATATTTAGATTTTTATCACTAAAGCAGTAAGCTTCATGGTTCCATGGTGTGAAATTAAAATATTTTCTATCACATGTTTTAAATATACAGAGTGAGATACCAGGAAATAATAGTTGAAAATATTTTTTAAGTGGACAAGAAATAAAGGTATATTCTTGTTAAGAAGTCAGACAATGCTCAATATTCACTCAGTTAAATTAAGAAATAACTATTGGAAAATGTTATAAATTTAAGAATATTATTTGGAGGATGGAGTATTAAGTTTGATTAAAAATATTCCCAACTTTCTTTATATCAACCTATTAAAATAATTGTATGTTTGTTTTGGAGAATATCTAGGAGTCTATAGATTTTTTTTGCAGTACCAAAAAGTTGATCATCAGCCAACTTCAGCTTAGAAAATTTATCAGAGGTAGTTCTTGACTTATGATCAGAATTTCCATTGCTAAGTAAGGCCATTATTAAGTGAATCAACTCAATTTTGCAACCTTTTTGGTTATGATTAAGCAAATCCCTGTAGTTGTTAAGTGAATCATGCAGCTGTTTAGCAAATTCAGATGCTCCAATTGACTGCTTGTTGGAAGCCAGTTGGGAAGGTTGCAAAGAGCAACCATACAACCCCAGGATGCTGCAGCCTTCATAAATACATGCTAATGGCCACATGCCCCATGACCATGGGGATGATGCTGCAGTCATAAATGTAACGACTAGTCATAAGGCATTTTTTTGAGTTGCTAAATAAATGGTTGTAAATCAAGGATTACCTATAATTAAAGTTGTAACACATCTTGCAAATTTACAGTTACTATTTGCATAAAATAGTAGGCCGTGATGTCACAATTGTGAGCTGATCACCAACCTCTTGGATTGTGATCATATGATCACAGAGATGGTGTGACAGTGGGCAACTATGAGGACTGGTCATATTGCTACTCATTCATCATGATTATAACTTTGTATGGTCACTGAACCTAGTGATCATAAATGAAGACCACCTGATATATAATTGCAAAATTTAAGATTAAAAAAAACAATATTCCTACTTCAAGTTGAAGTTAAAGGTTGATAAAAGCTTCCACACAGTTACAAAATAATATCTGATCATTTCAGAAACTGGTTGAAGTAATAAAGATTCTTCTCTTGATCAATATATCTTGCATTATTGCAAACCTTTCTATATTGTTGAATTTGTTTATGAAAAAAGGGAAAACTCACAATATTAACTTTTTATCCATCCATTCAATTGCACAAGTGGTTTGGACTTTTGTCATGGCAGATCTAAGAAATCTCAAAATACATTCTTAGAGCTTATCATTATTCCTCTGAATTTTGCAAGACAGTCTTTAATTACTGGGAAACCTAGCATTCAGAGCTAATAATTTTAACAGTCAATCCAGTTTGTACTTTGAGATATTATTTATATAAAACATTTAGCAATGGAGTAATTTTATTTTTCTTTGAAGATCTTCTCGTTGATATGTTGGGGGTTCTTGCTAGCTACAGCATTACCGTTAAGGAATTGAAGCTTTTGTTCAGCATGCTTCGTGGTGAAAATGGAATATGGGTAAGCTATAGCTAATGCAAACATAAGTTATGACTTGTTTAATTAAGGTGCAACATCATGTGTAATGAAGCATTTAGCAATTTTTTTAAAAATTTTAAGTCAGCTTCTGATGACTTCTTTAAAATAAGTTTTTAGTCTATTTGGAAAACTAGATACCAACTACTATACAGTATCACACTGTAAGTGAATAAAATGAACGTTACTATAAATATAAATACTAATGGCATGGCATAGCGGTTTTAATGTTGAAATACAACTGGTGAGACCCAGGTTCATATATATGAGGGAATTCATTGGTAACTTTAAGCCTATAACTTTCTTCTGAGGGAAATTTGAGGAGAGTGTTCTGTGTGTGCTGTCTCATTCTTGAAGGTGAGATAGATATAAATCTAATAAATAAATACAGTAAAAACAATTGTATAATTTTGTTTTTGATAGCCCAGACATGCAGTCAAGCTGTTGTCAGTCCTTAATCAGATGCCACAGAGGCATGGTCCTGATACTTTTTTCAACTTTCCAGGCTGCAGTGCTGCAGTAAGTTTTAAGCAATACTTTATTGATCATAGTAAAACTTGAATCCTCTTGTAATGTATAAATACGAAATACCATGTTTAATTGTTTCACTTACATAGAATGTAAGAATTAGTATGACTACTTTCGGAGCTTTGATATCTGAGAAAGATATCTGAAATGATTTTTCTTAGTAAAACAGTTACTAGGTGGATTCTGCTACACATTTCATCCTTCAGAAACTCTGGATCATGTGCATTATCTAGCATCTTTGTATGAATAATGATGGGATGAATTTGATTAGTGTACGGAGATTACAAATTAATTATTTTTTGCAAATCATTTTTAGTTTTATTTGGTAATAATTAACTTTGTTTTTATTTTTTCCATAGGCAATTGCATTGCCTCCAATTGCCAAGTGGCCTTATCAAAATGGGTTTACGCTTAACACTTGGTTTCGCATGGATCCATTGAATAATATTAATGTAGATAAAGATAAACCATATCTTTATTGGTAAGTATATTGTGATATTTTTACTGATGTTTAATTAAATAATTGCTTGCTTACCTCTTTTAGTAGAGAAAACAGGACTTTTCAGATATTGTTGTAACCAGATGGAAATAACCAAAGAAAAGAGAAAATCTTTATACCATAGTCTTCTGTATGTTTACTTAGTATCTCCCAGTCCAATTTATCACAGGGTTGTTATATTAAGAATTGTAGGAAAGAATACTGTATGTTGATGGCAGAAAGCTTAACATAAACCAAAATAAGTAACCCTTTTCCAATGCAACATAGAGGATTCCTACATAATGTATTAACAAACGGATGCTGTATGCTTTCCATTAGGAAATCAGTGAAACTAAGCACAGCAAGAATTATATTTAAGTAAACATAAGATTGAGACTTCAAATACCCGTATATACTCGAGTATAGGCCGACCCGAATATAANAGCTATAAAGCTCTTCCAAAGAGGGGAGAGGGCAACCAATGATCCTCTGGGCAATAGCCCTCTGCTGTGCTGTCCTATCTGCCACTGTGCTATTGGCAAACCGTACAGAGATGCAGTAAGTTAAAATGCTCTCTATGGTGCAGCAGTAGAAGATCACCAGCAGTTTTTCATTCAGTTGTTTCCTGAGAAGTCTCAGGTAGTATAATCTCTGCTGGACCCAGGTCAGATCCTCTTTTATAATAACACCCAGAAACTTAAAACTGCCCACTTGCTCCACTTGGTCTCCATTGATAAGCAAGGGCTGGATGTCCGATCTATTCCTTCCATACTTTGTACTTTATTGTTTTGCTCTAGTTGACCTAATGAATACTTATGATCAAGTCCAGTTGCAAATACTGCTTCTAAACGTCTTGTAAACTGAAGAACTTCAGTTAAGAGAGGTAGCAAAGAAAGTAGAGCTAACTATTTCTTTCTAGTTTCCCCCCAAATACTGGCTTCTGTTCCATTTAGGAACTGGTATTAATTTGCTTTTAGATGGGGGACATAGTTTTTCACGGAGAGGAAAAAGGTTTTTCCTCTCCGTGAAAAAAATTAAAATGTTTTGAATTAAAAAGACCAAGACTGGTGTTGAAGGTCAAATGTGAAACATAGAATGACATCAAATTTCCAACTGTGGTTATTTACTATAATAGCAATTATGTACAGATCTGCAAATGAAATAACAGTTGAAACCTTAGGAACCTTATTGTTGCTGGTGTTTTATTATTTTGAGATGATTAAAAAAGATGCTAAAATATGTGAAAGATGCTTGAAAATTAGTACAACACTGTCTCATTTAGCTCATACTATTTTTTTAAAAAAAGTAATTGTCTTGAAAGCTTTCTGTAGGAATGTTTATTAATATGAGCACTGGAGACTATTGTGAAATGCTCATGGCAACATTATTTCTCTGACAGTATTGCTGGATTCTATGTGGTGACTGTACATAAACCAATCTAGACAGTTAAGTAATAAAACTGCTTCAGTATGTATGTATGTATGTATGTATGTATGTATGTATGTATGTATGTATGTATGTAGTAATTATTTAGTAATAGAGGTAAGCTCTTGAAAAATAAGTCAATTAGAGCCGAGGTGGCGCAGTGGTTAAATGCAGCACTGCAGGCTACTTCAGCTGACTGCAGTTCTGCAGTTTGGCTGTTCAAATCTCACTGGCTCAGGGTTGACTCAGCCTTCCATCCTTCCGAGGTGGGTAAAATGAGGACCCGGATTGTTGGGAGCAATATGCTGACTCTGTAAACCGCTTAGAGAGGGCTGAAAGCCCTATGAAGCGGTATATAAGTCTAACTGCTATTGCTATTGCTATTATAAATAGAAGAGTTGGGCTTCTGAACTTCAGTCTACATAGAGGGTTAGATAGGATTTGGAAATGAAAAAAAACTTTATTTCTGTCATATATATTGTAATCTGAATGGGTTCCTGGCTACAACAATAAATATTAAAATCAAGACAGCATTGTAGTAATGAAACATAAAGTATTACAGATGACATGAATCTATCCTACCCATTATGTTTTCTAAAACGTGTTGTTACTAGCTTCTGATTGCATTTTCTATTCTCTTAATTAAGGTTCTAATAATATATAAAGAGACTTTTAAGTTTGTAGGCTGTTAATAAACAATCAGTTTTGATTTGGGCCTGATCTATCCCTATGTAAATGTTACCAAATTCAATTCCCACCATCACAATGAATTTCTTACTACATACCAGTGTAGAGATGGGCTTTACAGACTCATCTTTCCATGCTCAACATAAATTTCTAAAGACTTTTGTAAAAAAAAAAAGTGATAGAAAAGGGATTTTTTAAAAAAAATTTCTAACCTTTGTCATGCACTTTACAATATTATGATCATTTACGCACATAGTGATTTTAAGATATAATTTGATGTTCTATTAATTTACCATCATATATTTTAATTAATATCAGACTATTCACAAATAAATATCTGGGTTGCAATTCTAGAAAGACAGTGAATAAAGAAAATCTTAAAGGTAATCCCTAAGAATACATTCATTTTTGTAGATCACAAAGTAGTTTATGAACATCAAAAAAATTACATTAGTTTGCCTGAATCTTGAAAGGTCTAGTAAATTAACATTTTTTTTTCTTTTTAAATTTTCAGTTGGTTGGTGGAGAATTTGATCTAGAGATGAACTTTATAATCCAAGATGCAGAAAGTATAACATGCATGTCAGAACTTTTAGAGCACTGTGATGTAACATGTCAAGCAGAAATTTGGAGTATGTTCACTGCCATCCTTCGTAAAAGTGTCCGGAATTTACAGACCAGTACAGAAGTTGGTTTAATTGAACAGGTGCTATTGAAGATGAGTACTGTGGATGATATGATTGCAGGTATAATTTATATAATAGATTATCATAATCCAGATATCTTTTTAACATTGTATATGAACTGATTAATTATTAGAGGATATTATCTGAGCACAGTTTGGAATTTTAAAAAGTTCAGGCTATTTTGTAATTAATGAAATTATGTATTTTAAAGAAATATGAATAGATTATGACTATTGCTGATACCACTTTCTCAGACACAATTTTTAAATGTTTTTTTTAATCCTCAAAAATAGAATTTTGAAAGTTTGACATTTGTGAATTTGAACTGGGTGGTAATCAAAGTAAATCAAACTTTAAATTTTGCAGATGTTTAAAAAAAGTTTTATAAGGATTATTTGAATGAAAACTATCATGTTGAAAGAGCATTAGTATATATCAAAAATCTTGTGCACTAGCCAAAAAACAAAATTAAAATGCAAGTTTAGGGAGTATTTTTAAACTTTTAATGTGTATTAAATCATATTATTTTGCAATATGATCAATTATTTTCCTTAATGTTTTATATCACAAAATATAGGTATTGAAATATTTCTTACAGAACCAGTATCTTAATTTTTGTTAGAATTACAGTAAGGATCTGATAATAATTCTTGAATTGAATCCAGGAATTAAACTCTGACATTCCTGTGTTAGCCACTTATTTTCACAGAGAACCTTTAGAGATACTCTTCACAAACAAATTTATGTGTTGTAAAGTTGTTTAAAATAATGAATGAAATTTTAAAAGGTAGGTAAATCAATCTTGGTGTTAATCTTTCCATTTATCTTACTGTGGATGCTAAAAGAAGTTTTAGAGCATCTGTTGGATGTTTTTTTCATCACCTTGGTAGATATTTTCATAGTACCAGATGAGAAAGCTTCCTGGAAATGCTTATGTGAACATGAAGAGTTATTATGTTTTTTTCTAGATTATTAATATGACCTATTGTCATTGAATCTGATTTATTTTGACTTACAGGATAACTGTAAGTGTTGAGATTTACCTATATGGTAGATATTTTCATAGTACCAGATGAGAAAGCTTCCTGGAAATGCTTATGTGAACATGAAGAGTTATTATGTTTTTTTCTAGATTATTAATATGACCTATTGTCATTGAATCTGATTTATTTTGACTTACAGGATAACTGTAAGTGTTGAGATTTACCTATATGGTAGAT